TGGGACACCCCGTCTTCAGGTGCCCAGCAGAGCTGCAGGGATAAGTATTCCACTCTCAACTTCCCTTCCAGTCGATAGCAAAGGTCTGCCGACTGCCAGGGAACTTCAAGTGATGGTCCAAGAAGTTAGGGAGCGGGCCTGTGACTGCCACTACAGCCTCCTCCGCCACCAGTCCCAGAGTGGGTTTTCACCTGAGTCCGCGTTCCTCCATTACACTCCTGACAGATGGACGCCCCGACTTCATCCTGGCTACTGCTCCACACCTCTTGCTAACACCATTCCAGAGACCTCCGCCCAGCTTCAACTTCTAGCCCATCCTCCACACCTGCTCCAGCAGGCTCTGAACACAGGCCTTTCCTAAAACTTGCCACCCACTTAGCATATTAGTCCATCAAGTCTAACCTTGGCATTCAAAGTCCTCTACCAAAGATCCGGGGTTCATCTCCGAACTCATTTCCCATCTCCTCACTTCAGCAAGTGGAGCTCTTTGGTCAGCCGGTCCTCCCTGGCCTCTGAATGCCTGCTCTGTCCTGGGCTTCAGAGAAGCAGCATAAATAGATCCTGTAGGTACTTTGAGGGCTCCCCATCTAGGGAGGAAACATATAGACAATGAGCGACTTTTATAAGACGGTGTGGGTCCGGGACCCAGTAAATGCCAAAAGGAAGCTCTTTGGCCAAGGTACCAAAGGTCCCCCCAAGGACATAGCCCCAGGCTCAGAAGGAGGCAAAGCAGTGAAGAGGCCCCTGCAGGGTCTGGCTGGACCCAAACATTGTACATTAGGTGGCTTAGGGCAAAGAATGCCTGGAGTTACACATCCCCGCTGGGAACCTCATTTCTGCTCACTGTGTGGCTCCAGGCAGGTCACCTTGCCCCTCTGGACCTTAGTTTGTAACTCAAAAATGAAATAAAAACACCTAATGTATTAGCACCTGAGTGGCCCTCAAAGATTCTGATGAAGAGCTAGTAAGAGTCACTAGAGGACACAACAGCCAAAGCACCTCCCTGACTCTGGACTCTGACGGTCAGAGCCTGGACTTCATGGTGCCTCGGCCCCTGAAGCCCCCCTCACCTCAGAGCTCAGGGGAGGGCAGAGGAAATGCCAGGGCTGGGGGAGAGAGGCCACAACGATGCCATGGAGAGTCACCTGCTCTTGGTACAATCCAGTCCCAGGCAGCAGCCCAAGCCTCCCTGCTGGGAGGGAGCCCAGGCCTGGCTGGTCTCTGTGGGGCAAAGGGCAGTGGGGAAGGAGCAGGTGGAGGGGATTTCTCCCAGGGCGCCTACAGTGCCATCTCTTCGGCTGGGTCAGCTCTGAGGCCTCTCCACCACGCTCCTAAAGAGCCTCACCCTTCTTGGGCCTCTCAGGGAGTGACTCCAACTAGAGAGGAGACGGGCTGAGCGAAGAGCCCAGGAGAGGCTGAGGGCCGACTGTGCCCAACTGCACAGCTCTCAGCTACTCTGGGCCCATCTGCCAAGTAGGGCAGAGATACTCACCCCGCTGTTCTCACCAGGCTGTGGCTCCTTGCTTGACACTGAAGTCCCCCATAGGTGGGTTTTGTAAATCACTTTATTAACTGCAAAAGGCTTTGAATGCCTCAATAAAAGGAAAGACTGAGTAGCTACAATTACTACTTCATTTGGGGCTCTGGGGCACCTGGCCTTGTTGTCCAGCCATCAGACAACAGGGTTGGGATTCCATGACCCCAGTTTTTGTCCATCTTTTTCTTTTGGTTTTGGCTTTTGCTTTTGTTTTTGAGCCAGGTTTCATTTTCTTACCCAGGATGGTCTCTGGCTTCTGGGCTCAAGTGTTGCTGCTCTTGCCTCAGCCTCTCAAGTAATTGAGACTACAGGTGCCCAGCCCTTTCCATTTTAAGCCTCTATTTTCTTATCTGGATTTAAAGGCTGGATTAAAACTGGATTTAAACACTGCCTTGCCATCTTTCCAGGGTGTTTCAAACCCAGAACAGCAGAGTGAACCCAGGCTTTGACACCTAGGACTGGCGATGTTTCAGAGCCTCAGTTTGCTCAGTGAAAAGTAGAAGAAAAATGCCAAATGATGGTACACACCTGTAACTCTGGCACTGGGGAGGCTGAGGCAAGAGGATCACCGAAAGTTTGAGGCCACCCTGGGATACTTAGTAAACTCAAGGGAAGCCTGAACTACATAGCAAGATCCTGTTGCCAAAAAACAGACAGACAGCAGGGGAAAGAAATAAATAGCTACCTCTTGGGAAAGTTGTGAGAATTAAACAGGAGCACGTGTGGAAAGCTCCTCATAGCCCAGAAGCCACGCCTCTCTCCTAGCCCAAGCTTCCGCCGAGCTCTGGCCTTTTGCAAAAAGTCAGGCCTTTGCCTCCACTGAGGCACCTTCCCACATCTCCAGCTGCTGGAAGACCTTGCCAGGCACAGCTCAAGCAGTCCTCTTCCTTGCACCTCACACACTGCAGGACCATCTCAGTTCTTTCTTGACATCTCCTTCCCTCTGCACTGACACAGTCCATCTTGCACTGCAGTTATTTATGGGCAAAACTCACATCTCACCAGGCTCCTGAGACTCCCTGGGAGCAGCTTACCCACCGGTTTTTTTCTCAGGTCTGGATTTCCCAAAGTGCAGAACCTGGCATGTGCTGGTTATTGCATTCTTTGTTTTACCACCTCACGGGCATGATGTGAGGATGGGATGGACAGGGCTTAGTCTTCTGCTAGGGCCTCCATTCGTTCTGGCAACAAGTATAGCCCTTCTAGACAGGACAAGGCCCCGCTGTGAGGGACAGAGCATCCGAGTGGGAGAGCTGGGCAGTAGGCAAGGTCCAAGGGTGATGAGTGCCATGGAAAGCTGCAGTGGAGGACAACAGAGTTACAGGGAGCTAGTGTTTTCTATTGGGAGCTCAGGGAGGGCCTCTCCGAAGAGGTGACACTGGAAGAGAACCCTGAAGAAGTGAAGAGGCACTCGATGTGGTGGCTATGAGAACTGTGTTCCAGATAAAGGGCACAGTCAGGGGCTCCCAGGTGGCTGAAGCTCAGGGAGCAAGTGGGGAGTGAGGAGAGATGATCCTGGGGAAGTGTTGGGGAGGGAGGTACCCCCCAAGGGCCCTCACAAAGACTTCAGACTTTTTTTTTTTTTGGTACTGGGGATCCTACTCAGGGCCTTGCACTTGTAAGGCAGGCAGAGGAACCACTGAGCCAAATCCCCTGGCCAAGACTTCAGACTTTGATCTGAATAAGATGGAGAGTCACCGGAC